CCAAAGCCTTTTTTTGTTTGTTTGTTTTTGTTTTTAAAGTGTCAAACCGGGTGGTTAAAGACATCCCGGCCAAAGCCTCAGTTCTGACTTGTACCACAGTTTGCCAAGATTATACTTTTCCATTTAAGTGCTTAAAGTGGTCTGTTCAAGAACAGGGGCCAGTCTCACAAAGACGACTCAGTTCTAAAACCGTGTGTAAAAGATGGATTTTTGGTAAGCTGACAGCTAACGCTAGCATTCATAAACTGCACCGGTACAGCTCACAGATATACCTGCTGCTTCAGAGAGGAGGAATAGAGTAATTCAACACTAGAATTTTAAAATGTACTAAAGCTACAAACAGCAGGTAGGATCAGTTCAATAACTCTGATTAGCAAATGTGCAGTCTGCTCCATGTGCATGTGTCAGGATTAATTTAGTTTAAATTAGCGAGTTAAATGGGGGGGGGAGGAAGACCCCAGGAGACTAAAACTAAGCTGTAGCTGTTTGTGCAACTTTATGCGTAAACAAACCAAAACAAAAAAACCCAACCAAAAAACATGGTTGACCAAAGTGCTTTCCAAGACGGCAAAAAAAGAAAAAATACATAAATAAAATTTCAAAAAATACCAAAACACATTAAATAAAATTAAAGATAACAATAAAACTGACTAATAAAAAAAACTCTCTAGTGAGTGGCAACTCAGTGAACTGCAATTTTTTCCCCCCAGCCCAGCGGCTTTCTGCTTGCCTACATAAACCAGTTTGTCCTGGACTATTTTTAAACAAGAAGCAACGACAAATTCTGGTTGAACATCGTAAATATCATTTTATTAGCAGTGTCGCTGAGTGAATACATAATTTGAAGTTAGCTCTGGAGAATGGTGACGCTTTTGACCTAAAGGTACTTTTTTGTAAATCTTTGTTTTTATTAGTGGTTCAAAACAATAAAAATGAACCAAAGCTGTCAGCAGAAGAAGAAGAAGAAACAATCGTTCTAACTTTATGTCCACATTGCCTTTGAATTATGTTTAAGAGCTCAATCTGGGCCATTCTGTACTTTTGTGCAGTACGATTTTGCACCACAAGATGGTGCAGTGAGTCATCGTAACTTTTCCTAAACCTGACTAATCATTAGGAGGAACACATGCTTATTTGCTCTGGTGTTTTGGGAAAAAGGGAAGCCTCTTGTATAAATAGGGAAGGGTAAAGAGAACTATCAAGTTTAAAAATGGAACAAAAACACGAATGTGCTGCCCCCTGCTGGTGAAAGTTATAATTAAATTATGCAGATAACTACAAAAAGTACCTTTAAATAAAAGTCAGCGGTTCTTTTTGTGAAATTCAGACTAGATTACACATTGGTGACTCGGGCTTTTATTTATCTTACCTGCAGACGATAGCAGGCATTTCATTTATAATCTTTCATAATAGTCCTCTTTCCGCTGCAAGACCAAGCTTCAATTTGGGATCCACTCTGAGCTACTGAATTGTGCTTTTAATAGAAACACAGCACTTCATGTAAGCACTTAAAGTTAAAAGCCCTTTCATTTGGGACTTTTATCACTAGACCCGAGCTGCTAATTGACTCTGTTGCAGAAATATGGCAGCCAAAGAGCACATTTTAGACCCTCGCACACTGGAGTCTCAGATCTCTTTGTGAAACTGGCCCCAGGTTAACATTAGCTCTGAGTTTTTACTGATGTCTGATTTACAAAAAAATGTTGAGAAAAAAAGCCTGAAAGAGCTGTTTTGTCCCTGTTCACCCAATCAGCCAATGAAAACAAGGAAACTTTGATATTGTTTATCAAATTCCCATAAGAGATGTATCAGTGTGTATCATTCATACCATGGAAAAAAAAGGAATATGATGAAAATCTGTCTTGAATACGTTTTAGGTTTTGATTGGCTTTTACCTCTTATGCTATGAGAATGAATCAAAAGGCATGCCAGTGTTCGGGAAGCTGTACCGGTGATTGATGTGGTGGGTGTTCTTAAACTAGTGCCTATAATTTAAAGTTTGAACATCATTTTGTTTGTATGTTTTCTCTTTTCTTGCTGCCAGTTTTGGGTTTTGCCAACATTGTTTGCAATTTTGCATCTGATCGCTTGATTGATTTGCTTGTTGCCTGTTTGTTTTTTTTTAAAATAGAATCAACACATTTATAATTGCTTTAAAAAAATGTTTTAAACGCGCCTTTGTATTTATATCTAATTACTCGCTCTGTAAATGAAACTATTTATTAAAGAGAGAGGTGCCTCTGTTAAAGCTCAGATTCAGTGGGAAGCTGTTGGACGAATGTTGCAAAAAGACATACCACACCTTTTGTGTGACAGGTTTTGTTATTGAAATTTTTTTTATATCCACAAACATGACATTCGGTTTCCCTGTGTAAAGTCACATTTCAAATAAAAGCTCAAAAGTATTCTTACATGTAGCTTTTCCTTTTCCTTTTTCTTGTTTGCAATTTTGCTAATTTGGAACTATAAAACTGTTGTAAACACCAAGTGTACAAGCTGCACACTGTGGAGTTTGTACACATTTAAGGGCAGTTTTTTAAACCACATGTATAGTAAGCAGACACTTTAATGTATCTAAAAAATAAATAAAGTGACTGTGGCGGCAGTGAACTCATTATCATGTTCAAGAAACCACTTCTGCAATATGGCATGTTATCCAGCGGGGAGCAGCCATCTGAAGATGGTTCACTGTGGTCAAAGGGGCCCGAAATTGAGATCAGGTAATGTTTTTCAGAGGATGAACTGAGGGTGTGCACCAAGGCCCAGAAGAAAGTACATAAGGGAATATTTTTATGTTATTTATTTAGATTTTTACTTAAAACTGCCATAAAAAACACATCTTATATAGCGCTGTAATATCTGAGCACTCAAAGCACTTTATACAACTTGCCACATTCATACAGGCTCTTTTTTTTCTCCATGGTTTTAATAGGTTTAATAGAGTACACTCATATATTGTGTCAAAATTATTTCTGGGTATGTAAATCGGTCTCTGTGTGCTCTCACTTTACTATAACATTTATATTTTCTAAAAGAAAAAAACCAAACAAACAACAACAACAAAACAATTTGCTTGCACTGTTCCTTGCTCTTGTCAGCTCTAATCAATTATAGTATTTATTCATTTTGTACTGTACTTTTGTTTTAGTCTCACACACTATGTCCAGCTGCTGATGGGGACACATTATGTATTCTGCACAGAGACAGCGTTACGTACCTGGAGTCACCCGCTGCTGCTGAGAGGGGACGTGGTGTGTTTCTCTGGGAAGGGGAGGAGATTGAAAGCCTGAGTCACCGACTGTACTGTCCCCTCTTCAGCTCCGAAGAGTGAATTTATTTTTTCCAGACTCTCATCTTCGTGTGCTAGATTCACTCAGGATCATTTCCTGTGTGCTGCAGACACACAGAACAAAGACAGTTCATATGAGTGATGCTGAATATGATAAACCAATATTGTGGAGAACACACTGTCACAGCAGCAGACCACAATATTTCACCGGTGCTGCCTATGCCGTCTACACAACAAAGGTTTAAAATAAGCAAGGATCACCCATTTACCATGTACAAGTTTTACCTCACTCATATTTAGGATTTCTGTTAAAAGACAAAGGTTTTCTTTGTCATATTGATGGATAAAAGATTTCAACATAAAAAATATTATGTATTACAGGAATTGAAATTTAATAATAAATATAGGCTTCAGACTTATAAAAAGCAGATTCAGCAACAATATTCATCCTATTAGCTGTAATATTGTGTAACTGCTCTGCCCATTAAAGACCAAGGACCTCTGGGTGTGTCCTGTGCTTTCTGGCACCCAGGGAATCTTTTCAGTCCTGTAGGTTGAGGTGTGGGAACTGTGTGGTTTGCTCCGTGGCATCACGCATTTTAGGCTCAATGCGCCACAGCAACATGTTTTTTTTTAATGTTTATGAATCACACATATCTACCTTATTTGAATTCAAGAATGAAAATATATGTGGGAGTGAGCTTGAGCCCGCTTTAATCATGTAAGAAATATATCAGACTCCACCAGGAGTGCTTTTGGGAGCAACTGAATTATTTAAATTCCAGCTGATCTGACCAATATATATACAAATTCAATGTGATATATATGGTCTCAGGTTGGTATTTATAAAACACTAATCAGAGTTCCCAAGTTCTTGTGTGAGGTCAAACGCTGAAGTCTGATTTTAATAATAATAATAATAATCTACTGAACCAAAAGACTTATGCGCAAGGTAACGTTAGAGGTGAGGACTCGTGCGTAATGCGACCAGCCTGACCAAAAAAACTGGGGGGGGAGGAAAGGGCGGGCGGATTTTCCCAGTTTGCTGCACTAATTTAAAGATCAACACAGCCTCTGCTTACTCAACCTCAACAAGCAACCGACTTACCGCAACTTACATTTCCCATAAATGTCAAGGATCTTTTCCATCCTTCTGCAGAACACGCGAGAGACGAAACAGCAACCATTCAACAGAGTCTCATTTTTCAGGATGGCAAACTGTCAGAGTGTAATAATAAGATTGAAGTTTGCGGGGTCTTTCTTCCTATACAGCGCAGAGCTCAGTGTAAATGGCAATGGTGGTAGTTATTGATTGGTCCAGCCACTCTTGCTTAAACTTACGACCCTGTGCTGTCTTTCCTCCAGCAGTTTAGCCCAGAAACAATCCGTGGCACCACTCAGACTCATTAGGCTATCAGTACCATGGCACCATCGCATACCCCGACTACTGGACCTTCCGCAGTTTCTTATTAGTGACAGTGCGTCACTAGAGGAATCGTTTACGCACGAGCCAATACAGGCACAAGGCGACGGTTGAGATTTTCTGATCTCCTTTTGCGCCATGGAGAACTCCAGTCTGCCGGGTGAAAGTGCGCAAAGTGCTGGTTCGGTGGACTTTATTACTTTAAAGCAAGTGGATTCTCCGGAGGAGGGTGTCATGAAGGGATTAGGAGCGGTCGGTCGTGCCGTGTTTCTCCAAGGCAGCGGTTACAGGACTGTAGCCGAGTTTATGGCCGTTCTCCCGACGGAAACCTCTCACCTGATGCCTGCCTTCTGGGACTCCCCGCTCAGTCACGGCATCAATGTGTTCGTCGGACTGGTACTTTGCTTCACTATGTTGGGGCTGGGCTGCACGGTGGAGGTCAGCCAGCTCGGAGAACATATCCGCCGACCCATCGGGGTGCTCCTGGCTCTGGTGTGTCAGTTTGTTATCATGCCACTAGTGGCTTTTCTTTTGGCGCTAGCCTTTTCTTTGGATGATGTGGCGGCGATGGCCGTGCTCCTCTGTGGCTGCTGTCCTGGAGGAAACTTGTCAAATATTATGTCTCTGCTTGTGCACGGAGAGATGAACCTAAGGTAGATCCCCTTACTCACCTAAGCATGACTTGAAGTGGGTTTTGGTGTTAACAGTGTTTTGTGCGCAAATTCTGACATTTACGCACCGAAATAACAACACGTAAGAATAACTTCTGCTAATAAGAAAAAGTTCTGCATGCTTTTTTTAAAGCCATTGCTACATTTTCCTCAAATGATCCAACACCGTACGTGCTTCACGTCCACCATACTCCTTCTTTTCTCTACTCCTCCCAGCATCATCATGACCATATCCTCCACTCTGCTGGCGCTCGTTTTGATGCCGCTCTGCCTCTGGATCTACAGTCGAGCCTGGATCAACACCCCTGTGGTTAACCTCCTGCCCTTTGGGGCCATCATACTGACACTTTGCAGCACCCTCATCCCCATTGGGTTTGGAGTTATGCTTAGGTACCGCTACACGCGAGTGGCGGATATTGTTTTAAAGGTAATCTGACAACAATTAACTTTTATACATCCGTTCGATCATTTCGTTCCAGCCGAAGTACTTTTGGTTAGGGGCCTTTGCCCAAAAGCGCATTGCGTATTTCTTGGTCTCAGTTATTACTAGTGGGGTGGCTGACCGCTGGAAGAGTGACATCAGAGGCACTATATCAGGAAGAGCTCCTCCCTGTGCTTTCTGATAAAAGCGACACATGAGGGCCTCATAAGTTAGAGTACACGGTAATGTTGGGCACCACAAGCACAACGAAATTATATGCTGTCCCCTTAGTGCAAAGAAAGCAGTCTATCTGAAACTTTTATTATATGTACACAATTTTTTTGGTTGCGCAGGTTGGATATTGCCTTTATGGTTCAAATGAAGAAAAAACCCGAAATGTTTTGGTTTTAAAAATCATGTCTTGTAGAAAGTTGCCGCCATATTTTTAAAAAAAAATTCTCACGCTGAATTCTTGTGTTTGCAGGCTTCTCTGTGGTCATTGTTGTTCACCCTTGTGTTACTCTTCATCCTTACTGGAGCAATGCTGGGGCCAGAGCTTCTCTCCACCATCCCGCCTTCTGTCTACGTGGTGGCTGTGCTGATGCCTCTGTGCGGTTACGCCGCAGGTTACGGGCTGGCAGTGCTTTTTGACTTGCCTCCCAACAGTCGCAGGGCCGTGTCTCTGGAGACGGGCTGCCAGAATGTGCAGCTGTGTACGGCTATCCTGAAGCTGGCCTTCCCTCCTCAGCTGATGGGGGGGATGTACATGTTTCCCCTGCTCTACGCCCTGTTCCAAGCAACCGAGGCTGGGATTTTCATCCTGGCCTACAGGATGTACAGGAGGGAGGTCCTGCATAAACCAGATCCCATGGTGGACGGTGAGGACACGGACATAAATTATCAAAGGTTTGAAGACGAGGACTTTGAACCGTCATATGGTGCGGTGACAGTGAGCGACCCAAACACTATCATGCTGGATCCTTGTCCTCCTGATCCAACTCCAGTTTAATCTGCATAAAAATAATTATTTAAAAAAATCAAAAATCGCTGCTCCTCTATGGAGGACCAAAACTGCCAAATGGAAAAAAGAAAGAAAAAACGAAAAAACATATATATATATGACTCAGTAACACAATTAATAGACATTAAATTATTACTTAAACACAGAAATGAATAAAGCTATAAGATAAACACTCGGTTTTTTTTGTTTTCAACATGTCACTTAGTATTATAGTTATCCCACTTTATTACTTACTTTCATTCATTTTTACTTTTATTTTACATTTTTTAATGATTGTTTTTATTATTTATCTATTATTTGACTGTATTTTTAGCCAAGTGGGAACACCTAGGACTGAAAAATGAAACAAATGCAAAGGTACTAAAACCTTCATCTAATACTGGTCCTCTAAAGACCACGCGAGGTTGGCTCCAAGCAGACAGTATAAAAGATGGATCTAGCTACCGTGACATCACTTGTTGGTTTCTGGAGTCCCACTTTGAAGCCTGGGGATGTGGTTCCCCAATCGCCAGCTTAGTTGCAAAAATCCACATATGAATAGATAACGGTCTGACTGTGAAAATGGATGTTCATTGGCTAACGCTCACTGACTTGTAGCTACATACCACAGATATCCTTCCCTTCTGTTTTGCTTATAAAACAGACTTTGGTTTTTATTTTTAGCATGACCCAAAATGAGTGACTGAGACCATAAACTCAGCAGGAAAATCAGAAAATAATTTTCCCACAGAACTCTATAGAATTAAATGACTTTTCGAAACCACAGCTATTACCATCTGGTGGCCTTCAAGTAGGATACAGATATTTTGGCACTTCTGCATTGGCTTTATTGTTAGACCCCAAGGTTACGTCCATCTTTGATACATGTGTATGATTTAAATTGGTTGATTGAAATTCGGGTGTTTTATTTGTTTCTTGCTTAAGATTAGCAGGGATGTGCACCTTTAGCTCCTCGCAGACTCTGTGCCGTGTTATTGTTTATGAGCTTTTGATTGGCCAACATTTTTTGAAGGTTGGGGTTATAATACCACCTGTTGCTTTAGCATGCTTTTGACTGCGCTCGAGATTGGTTTTGCATTTTCATGTGTAAGGAGACATTTTTTAAAGACAAACTCAGAAAAATCTTGTTTTAAAAAGTAAGCCTTCACACATAAGCTTTCCTTTTTATAAATGGGTCACCCTCCCTCAACCCTCCCATTTATCCAGGCTTTGGAATAGCACTGGGAATCCAATAGCTTGTGACCTCGCCTTGGAAAAATGTGGGGGTAGGGGAGCGTTCTCCTAGTCTCAAAATGGTGATCATGCACATGTAAGGTGAATGTGTTAACCACTACACTATGTTGTTATATAAATCTGGAAACTTCAACCGCTGATAAAGCATATAATCTAATTACTGAGTCATTTATTGACTAATTTCTTTATTTTTAATTTTGGCAGTTATGACCTTCCATACATTTCATCGCTGTTATTCATAAAAGAAATGCCTGTAAAATGTTAACATGATTGCTAAAAAAGGTGCTTTATGTCCTGAGCTTAACTCGTTCATCTTAACCACTGATGTCTCATTTCGTGATATAAAAAAAGCAAAAGAAACATGACTTCAAAGTTGCATTAGTGAAGCAGGACAGTGTTCCGTTTCAATGCTTTGAGAGTGTGTGTGTGAGTGTGTGTGAGTGTGTGTGTGTGTAAGAGAGACTAAAAGCCATTTTAAAAACATATCAGACTGATTCATGTGCAGATTTCCCAACAAGCCTGTGCCAAAACTTTACCTTACCTGTGCTCTACAGTCTGATCTTAATTGTACTGTAAAAATTGTGCCAATTAAAGACGTATAAACACAAAACAGGCACACCTCTGTCACGTGTCTACTTCCCCCCCTTTCTTGTAATGAGACGTCCTACACCTGATCTTAATTAGGTCTAATGGAGAGCTCCACTCTATTTAACTAGTTACAGCAAAGCGTCGGCCGGTTGAACAAACATGGCAACATATGGTGACGAGCCAGTGGATACCTACTTCTATTCTTCTTACAATCCTTACATGGGCAGATACCCCCGGCCTAAAGACGCGGGGTGGAAATACAAAAGTTACTTCTCCCACTATGGAGACTCTTCTGATGCCTTCAACAACCACCAGCGCGCACAGCTGAAGTCCATCTTGTCCCAAATCAACCCCAAACTCACCCCGAGGCTCAGGAAGGCGAACACCAAGGATGTGGCAGTGCAGGTCAACCCGAAGAAGGACGCTTCGGTGCAGTGCTCCATTGGCCCGCGCACCCTTCTGGCCATGAAGCGGGACTTCCAGCGCAAAAGGAAGCAGGAGCCAGCGACGCCCGGCAGCCCCAAAGCGACGGGCGGTGTGCGTTACCCCCGCACCCTCGCCGTCTACTCCCCGATAGCATACAGGAGCGTCACCTCCTTCCTGGTCGATGAAAATAACAACAATAAGGAAACCTCCAGTGAGACGGTGCAGACCGGTGAGCCCCCGGGTGAGCCGCCCGAGCCCTCCGAGGACACCGAGGGGAAGGACGAAGACAGCCAGACTGGAGAGGATGAAAAGACCGCAAAGCAACTAGAGCAGAGCAAAAAGCTCAAGTCCAAACTGCTGGCCAGGAGTGAGGATGCGCAGCTAACTGCGGAGGACTCGAAGGGCAAAGCGCGTGTGCGGTTCCAGGTGAGTTAATCACGCACCGGGAGGTTTATACTTGGCAGTTTTTCCAAGAACGTTTGCGCCACAACTGCTTGGAA